AAACACTGTCTGTTCCCCTTGGGTCTCAACCACGCACTTCACTCCCCCAGTTCTCCAATGTCTGAATCAATGCTGTTGAACGGCTATTCCGGAAAGTTAATCCCACTAAGGCAACAGGAAGCGATGGCGTACCAGGGACAATCCTCAAGTTCTGCTCTGACATTGTGGCACCGTCTTTCACCATCTTATTCAATGCTTCGCTGTCGCGCGGCCATGTCCCCTCGGGGTTCAAGTTAGCTAACGCTGTTCCCCTGTACAAAGCTGGTGATCCATCGGTACCAACCAACTTCCGCCCTGTGTCCCTTCTACCCATACTCTTTAAGTTGCTACAAAAGTCAGCTCAGAAGGAGCTCATCGCGTTCCTGGACCTCACAGCGCCGTTACCGACTACCCAGTTTGCGTTCAGGCGTGGCCACTCCACCGAAGATGCACTAGCCCTGAGGTCAAATCGTATTTTAACAGCCAAAGACCAGTGCCTATTCACAGATGTTTGTCTGTTAGACATGTCCAAACATTCGACAAACTCCAACATACCACACTCTTGCGGGATCTCCACTGCGTTGGAGTGTCTGGTATTGCCCTGCGCTGGTTTGCCAGCTACCTCTCAGGTCGTACCCAACGTGTCTGTGTGGGAGCACAGACTAGCTCTACATCAGCGTGCACAAGTGGTGTCCCCCAGGGTTCGGTGCTGGGTCCCATTCTCTTCAGCCTTTATACCCGGGAGGTCCCGCTGTAGTTGGCCAATACGAATCGAGCTAATTCGCGGACGATATTGCGCTCGTATGCAGCCGGAGGTCAGCACAGGAAGTGTCCAATGTCTTATATGCTTTGGTTTCAAACCTTGCTGACTGGCTGAAAGATCGAGGCCTGATCCTAAATGCTGGAAAGAGCCAAGTCGTGCAGATTCCTGCCGGCCGTCAGCTCACCACAGACTTCCAGGTCGTCTGCCATGGCACTCCGTTACCTAGTGCGCCCCCTGCTCGCTATCTTGGCGTAACGATCGACTCCTGCATGTCCTGGCATGCCCATGATATTGCCAATTGTTCTGCACGCGTTTTTTTGCAGAAGATCGGGGTGCTCTGGAGAATGTGTCGCTGCCTGAACCACCAGTCACGCATGACATACTTTAAATCGCTGATCATGTCTGACTTGCTGTATGCCTCTAACGCGTATTCGAGCTCCCTGCCACAAAAGTGCCTTGATCGGCTTCAAATTCTCCAGAATAATGGGGTTCGGGTGGTATTCCCCCCCCCCCCTCCCCGGTGCTCCGCCCGCGCTCTGCTAGGGCGCGTGGAAGTGTTCCGTGTGGCAGAAGTTTTCACCCAGAAGCTCGTGTACTCGTACCTTGCGTGGCGCTGTCGATATGCCCTGGCAAGTCCAGAACTGCAAGCCCTGCTCACTCCCGCTGCACCTGGCCATACTCGGCTCCAATCGGCCATGGGCCTGTGTGTACCAGTTTCCCGTTCTGCAGCAGGTCAGCCGGGGGCGCTTTGCTTGCAGGGGTGCAGTGCTATGGAATTCACTTCCTGGTAACCTCCTTGTCATTCATCACGCCCAGCAGTTCCCCTACACCCTGTAACCGAGGAAAAGCAAAATTTCTGTCGATCCCCTCCTCACACGACCTCTCTACGCTGAAATATCCTAAATTCTCATTCTCATTCTCCTCGTTAACATTAATATTTTAAAGAGTTGGTGGACAAGCCGTTGATTATTCACTCTCATTGTAAATATTTCTATCGTTATTAAATTTTATCAAATATACCACTCTTTGGTCTAGAAAGAATACTTTTTTGATATTACTATTTTATCTTTATTCTCCCAATGGCCATAGCCATCATCACATTCACTCTCATATTATTGGGTTCTTGCCCGTTTGAAGTTGCAAATTCAAATAAATACAAACGGACAAAAAGCAGTTTAGAAGAGTTCACACGCTCAGTTCCCAATTTGAGAGTAAGTCCATACAGAACTCTTGTGAATATTCATGTGCGCATGCGCATGTGTGTGTGTGTGTGTGTGTGTGAGCATGTGTTGTGGGGTGAGTGGGAGGGGAAGGGGGGGGGGGCACACACACACACACACACACACACACACACACACACACACACACACACACACACACACACACACATACACACACACACACACACACACACACCAAGAAAGACTCACTTCTCCGCTTCCTTGAAACGGCCCTGACCCGCCAGTGTGTCAGCCTGCGCTATGAAAGTACCTTGGACATCATCCAACAGATTGCAAGCGTCAGCAACCTGTACAGGAAATAACACACACACACACACACACACACACACACACACACACACACACACACACACGCGCGCACGCACGCACACACACACACGTACACGCACACACACACGCGCGCACGCACACACACATGCACGCGCGCACCCCCCCCCCCCCCACACACACACACAACACACACACGCCCGCACGCGCGCACCCACACACACACACACACACACACACGCACGCACACACACACACATGCACGCACGCAGGAACAGCAAAAGAGATAGGCAGCACAATCAGTCTCATACAAAGGAAAGTTGATCCCAGTGATCCCAGTGCTTAGGCAAATGGAGTCTGCAGCAGTGACAATAGTGCTAAAGCGGGATTCACAGAAGCTTTTTTGCGATGCGACACGCGATGCGACGCGATCTGCGACGGACGCGTGCGATGCGAACTCGCGAAATACCATTCACAGAAGAAGTCAGTGATGCGACAAAATCTTGCTGATTTGGCTACGTCACCATGATATTCGCGCGGTTTGATACAACTTGTACAAATTTATAGGCAACTCTTGCACCTTTGTACAACTTTGCTGTAGAAAAGGTCAAAATCGTACGCCAAATCGCTTGTCGCATCGCATCGCATCGCAAAAGTTGAGCCAAGCTCAACTTCTGCGATGGCCCAGTTGCGGCAGTTGCGTGGGGTGCGACATGGCTGCGATTTGGGGTTTTCCCGGTTTCGCGCCTGTCGCATCGCGTGTCGCATCGCAAAAAAGCTTCTGTGAATCCCGCTTAAGGGTACTGGTACAGTCGTAGTCCCAGACCCCTTGCATTTCTCAATATCAATGTATTCAATCTGCGGACAGAACTGTTTCGTCCTTGGTGGGTTCATCAGCGCAGCACAGAGGAAAAGACGCCGAACCTGATAGCAATGAAAAATAATTTTTCCATAGTTGTTGCACTTTCTGACTGTATATGTATCTAGTTACAGTGGTGGAGAGTTACTCTTAACTCGTTTCCATATGTCCTTTTCCTTTCTACTTTTATTATTGGCTCAATACCCGAGTTTCAAATTGTACACCTGATGAGCCGTCACGAACCATACGGCGAAACGTACGTCGTGTGAAACAACTTGTTTTGTAGTCAACTACTCCATCACAATGTCATGCATTAGGAGTACTGTAGGAGTTTGGCTTTCGGCTTGTACAATTCGTTTTCGCAAAGCTTTCCCCTTCTCTACTTAAATTTTCCAAAGCCAGGTTTAAACCAGGCCCGAACGCACCTTGCCGAGTGCTCAAACTGACAAGTCAGTGAGCTCTGCATAACGCAAACAGCAAAGGCACTACCCCACACAAGAGTGCTCAACTGCTACAAGAGCAGGAGTGAAATACTCATGAGAGTAGGTTGAGGGTGTTTCAATATCAATGTATGTAATCTAGAGCCTTATAGAGCCTTTTTCTCCAATATAGTAAAGCATGCTGGGATAGCTAGCCCATAAAAGAACCGGAAAAGGCAAGGCAGACAGACAGACAAACATCAGCAGCAGCAACAGCACCACCAACAGCACCAGCAGCAGCACCAGCAACAGCACCACCAGTAGCACCACCAGCAACAGCACCAGCAGCAGCAGCAGCAGGAACAGCATGCTAGCAGCAGCAGCAACAACAACAGCAGTAGGCTGTAGCAAAGTCCCGAGGTCAATAACTAACCTTGTGAGCTTCATACCAGCGGTTGGAATGTGTGTACATGTCAAAGGCTTTGCGAGGCTGTCCACCTTGAACATAGTACTTCTCAGCCAGCTGGGAAAATAGGACAATAGCACAAACACAACAAGATGTACAGTTAACTTTGCGTATAACGACACTCGGCAGGGCATCAGAAAAGTGTCCATATTCGCGAAGTATCCTTATACCCGAAGTCTCATCATAATTATGTATTACAGTTAGGTGGGACTTTGCTCTGGGCATGGAAATTCTGTCGTTATTCGCGAATTGTCGTTATATCCGCAGTCGTTATAAGCGAAGTTGACTGTACATACTCATACAGACTCAGGATGAGAATGCTCAAACACAGATTTACCCATACACATGTGCAGGGAAACTAGGCATACCAGACCGTACCAGCAACTGCATGCCAACGCAGCAATTGCATCGCCTTTTCCCAAGACATTACAATCTTGTGACCATATAAACCGTAAGGGGGCAATGCCCCGGTTCAGACCACCTGTATTCGACGGGGGGGAATCCTATCGTATCCCATGATTAGTATTTGAGGTCTGTATTCTATGCTTAGGTTAATTCGTATAATGTTCTTCTCTGGTGTCACTCCTTTAGTTTTCACTCTTGTCTGTGTGCTGTTGGGGGGGGAGATGTTGATGGTTCAGTTCTCATTTATTTGCCATCTTTCACCATCTGTACCAGTGCCAGCCCATGTCATGGAGATCTCTTCCCCTGAACAACAGAAGAAAAGCCAGCAGCATGACAAACTGGCACACATAGTACAGGAAAGGATGGAATGTCGGGTATGTTATATCGCTGGGCCCTGCTTTTCTTCTTCTTATAAATCTTAGGCTCCGTCTTGGGGGTGTTTGATCCCCATGCCCGGTCAATTATGATAATCCTAAGGCAGACAGACACACGTCCAGAGGAATGGAGCACTTACATTGAAATCTCGGATGCTGCTGTAGGCATCGGCCACTTGAATGTAGTACCTGCACATACACCGTCATACACACAATCGTATACATAT